CAATCACTTCGATTCATTTACTCCTGTTTAGTCTACGAAGCGTCAGTTGAGATCACTCATCACCGCTATTCCTGACCGTTTTTACTTTCTCGTATACGAAGTATACAAAGAGAAAGTATTGTAATCGTCAAAAAAATTCGAAATCGAGATTTTGACGAATCTCCACGTTTTAGACCTCCCTGATTCCGAAAAACACAATTTTGGAATTATGTCTGTCTGTGTGTGTGTCTGTGAACACGATAACTCGAAAACTATTAGAGCTACGGGGATGAAATTTGGTATGTGGTCTTTAAACATAATTTGTAGGTTTCTATCAAATTTTGGACAAAATCCGTCAACGGGAAGTCTGTCTGTCTGTATGTTCGAGGTCATGCGAACGCTATAACTCAAAAACTTGAAAAGCCAGATGGATAAAATTTTATACACAGTTTTATCGTCATGAATGTAGGTCCATATAAAATTTTGGGCCAAATCCGTCAAAGGGTTGACTGTCTGTCGGTCTGTATAATCGCATACTTGTTCAGTTTTGAAACTAACTCCCTGCGCATGCCTACTGGTGCGTATTGGAGAGAGAACGGACGCTCCGAAACTTGGCAGTTTGCCAAAAACCAATTCTGGAGCGATTTTGTAAGGAAGCAAACATTTAGGGAGTCTCGCCAGGTCCTGTTGCGCAGAAGAATGCGCAGGGGATTTGAATTTGTTTTGATCCTTCAAACCACGCGTGGTTCCAACTTTGGTTTACTTGCGACGGAAGTTTATTTGACGTCTTTTATTATTCTAGTTTTCTCTACATGTGTTAGGAGTATACGAGAAAGTTTAGGGGAGACCACTCCCGCTGGTTAAATAAGGTCTGAATCATATTCAAACATTAGGTGGGAAAGTTGCGTATTAAAGTTCAAGCAAATATGAGCAGCGGGAATTTTTTTATAGTGATACAATTTAGTTTTTCTCAAATTCATTTTCAGTTAACACTCATTTCAATGATTAGACTGAATGGTGGACTTTCGTTTTCATTGATTTCTTTATCAAATGCTTTGATGATCATTACTAGTAATAAGCGAGTTCTGTACATAAGCCTATAATTCGAATTTATTTAGGTTAATTTTAAGTCAAAACTGAAAACTTGCTCATTTCTGAATTGTTTTCGTTAGTTAAATACGTCCGTATCTTATAAGTGCCAGCGAATTATCTTTAAGGCCTATAATTAACTCAAGAACTCGCTCTTAGCTCCTGTTTTATGTATTTAATTAAAAAATAATTACACAATTTTTGCACTCTAGGTGCTGTACATATATTTCTTTATTTAAATTACTTTCTTATTTATTGGAATAACTAATAATGCTTTATAGATCAAAATTATTTACTGTTTATTAATTAATTTCGTAGTATTCATTAAAACTTTAAAATAAATCTTAATTGCTATTTTTAGAATAAAAACTGTCGTTATCTCTTGTGTTTGTTTTTAAACCCATTTTTTCTTAATTAGAACTTCTGGATACATCTAATTTTTATTGTGGATCCCTCAGTTTCAAATTAACCAAATTCGAATTTGTTATCTATATTCAATTTAAAAATAGTTCGCGGAACAATTTATCAAAGTACATCAGTTTTTTCAGAGTAAAGTAGCCGAGCAGTGACAGTATATTTGTGCAGATGTGTTACAATTGATTAAGCCGTGTTCAGTATTAAAATTTCAATATGATTAAATTTAATTTTAAATTTGGTACATCATTTTAACATATTCCTAATTAATTACTTTTTGCAAATTTTATATTATGTTGTTTTATAATGCTAAAAAATGTTTTATATTTAAAAAATGCGATATATCTATCCTATAATTAAAAAGCATTTAGATTATGTTAAAAAAGTTTCGCTTTTTTCTAATTTTGTATAAAATTACTTTTAAATGTTAATTTTACATTTCTTTATACTCGGTATACAGGAACCAACTGTCTTGAAAGAGATGTGAAGTTAAATGATTTGCTAATTCAATTTGTTAAAATTTGCAACTTAAAATTGCTTATATAGAAATTAAATTACAATAAATGCAAAATTATTGGGTTTTGGAAGTTAGAGTAGGGAAAACGGGGGGCTCCTAGAGGACTTAATTCGGCCCTGCCCGTTTTAAAACATCCAAAGAACATTCGATAAATATCCAAATAAATAAATACAAATTTCGGAAAATTTAGAGAAATCAGACAAAGGAATTATAAAAACAAAATTATCTAGTAAATCTCGTATATGTGTGTGTGTGTGTTGGCGCTCTACAGGCCAGACCACTGAACTTAGAGCCTCTAAATTTGGTACAAACATACTTTGGAGGGTGGGAATGTGCACCTCGGAGCCCTTTTTAAAAATTTTAATTAGAATTTTAATTAATTAAATATTAAGCGAAATTTTGGCGTTTTTCCTTTATAACTTCCGAAAATATTACAGCATAACGCCATCGTGAATGTGCAAAAAATTGCCTTTTCAATGATATCAATTAAGTTGCCGTACAATTTTTTCTCTAATTTTAATGAATTTTTAAAAATATTTTTTGGCATAATTTACAATACTTTTCATTGTTGCAACGCATTTCAAACCGTTTTCATTGTTTAAACAAACATTTAATTGCGTGTTTCTCCATCATTGTTGAAAGATAAGATAATTATTTTAATCTTTAATGCTATGTTTTAATCAGCACATTTTCATCCAACTAACATGAGGCTGGAAGTAAAATGTGCCACGCCATTTTAAAGTTAAAATCTAATACATATTTTGTAAGAGGAATAAGAGTGAAGTTGATGCCAACAATGTGCTGTTTGATGTTGCATGACACAGCCAGTCACTTGACTCTATTAGGGATGTTCATGCAGACAACGAACAGAACAGGTGCAAAGCTACTGAAAGAACATGAATTAAATGTCTATCACAATTTGAAATTGTTAAGGGAACCATGAATATTAAATTATGCGTAAGAGATTCAATTAAAATTATATTCCCGGTGAATAAGCTAGTCGCCGAAGATGACTAGTACACAATGAATACGAAAAACATAGAATGCGGCACGATTCTAAATAGCACGAGCCCATTCCAAAAAGCGCACATCACCATAATTAAAATATTTTGTCTATTAATGAAGTATATTGAGTAAATAAATGTTTCATATTTAACAAATGTTGAAAAAAAAATGTTTCATAGTTTTCAAATGTTTATAGCACAGGTCACATGAGGCCCAAATGACAGCTTCTCTTGTGACTCAAAATTTTCTTTTCACTCAAATTTTGAAACAAAAAATTGTGTTTAACATAAAATGACTACGTTTTCATTGAAGTATTTAAAAAAGTCCTATTCAATGATATCTCATTCATCACTTAGTTTAGAAAAAGGGATGTTGACAAAGAGAGATAAATAATATAAAGGATAAAATTAAAATTACTGATTTAAAAGCATCTGAAATATCAACTAAGAAAAGACCAATTAAGCTAATTAAAATCATGTAATAAAACACATTTATTATTAATAAAAATGGAGTAACAATTACTAAAAGTATGCAAAATTATTATTTAATTTAAAAGTAATAACTGATAACAAATATAGCGCAAGCCTTCTTTCTATACACTCAATCTATAATTCCATATCAATCCTAATAATCTCAGCCATTTTTAGGGCTAAATTATTTTAAGAATAGCGCACGCTTCTTTAAAACGCCGTTAAATAAAGCTTCGTCTAGTTAACGCGCCAATTTCTGAGCTCGCTTTGTGACCTTCACCCCTTGAATGAACAGAGCAGAGCAATTATTTAGTTGCATGTATGCGCTCTCCAGTAGAAACCCGTGTACTTTACGATAGTTGTGCGATTATTTAATCAAAAGACGATCGCTGTGGTTTTACGACTGTTTAGTTGCCGAGCTATAAAGTTGCATGCATGCGCAGTCTAACTTGAGCCCATGGTCTTTTAACATGCAACTAAACTGTTGCCCGATTAATAATTGCATGTATGCGCATAGCCTTAATGTCACGCTACTAAATTCTGTTTTAATGAATCGTCACAAGACAACTCAGTTAGATAATAATTTTTACTGCAGTAAATGCACAGATGTAGTAGTGGCCTTCAATGTATCTTGAATCCGTGCAAAATTATCGATATTATCCTTTTTAAAGTATATTCCTCAATCTAGGTGATAAGTTGTGCAAAGTGTTCTTCAAAAATGTCGCGACCTATAAAACTGAGTTGAAAATGTAAATAGAATTATAAAAATTATAAAACATCGCGCAGCGTGATTGTGAGAAAGTCATGGCACCCCAGGGTCGGCAACGCACACTTTAGGAATCGCTGGCGTAACGGGAAGTACGAAATTTACAAATGTTTCATTATAATGAAAATTTATTTTCTTGTGTTATTTTATTAGCCTTGCAACTTCTTGTACTTCAACCAAAGGTGAAAAAGAAAGAAGAAGAAGAAGGGCCTTCCCTATGGACATTAATAAAAGATCCCTACATTATGATTGCGGCTGGTAAGAGTTTATCCTTCGTTCATTTTCCAAAGGAAATATTTTTAAGATTGCTTGTTGCTTTTTTTAAATTTAAATTATGGGTATATTATTCTCCGAAATTTGATCTGATAGCTCATACAAATGTGTTAGAGGTAACTATTATTATGTAGTGGTTACGGTGCTGGCCTCATACGCGAAAGAGAGCGAATTCGATGCCCGTTCAAAGTCGGTGGTTTCTTGTGATGCCAAGAATCGTCAGCACCCGTGTATTATTGTTATACGACGTGATAGAGATCCATAGAGTAGCTATTTGGCACTCTCGGTAAAAGTAAATTCGTATTTCAGCTTTCAGCATCGTGAAAGATTAATGGCTCGTTTGTTCTGGTGTGTAAATCGAAAACCAAAATTAGGCAATGAGAGCCATCGGGGATCTGAACACAATACTACCGAGGACACGTTCCAGCCACCCAAAACGTTTCACTGGCTCTCGACAAATTCGCAGAGCATCTGAACAAAAACGAATCTCCTTGGAGGTGAATCGAACCCCGTCTCCCTCTTAACAAGCCGGGATACTGACCACTATACTAGCGAGGACCCGATTAGGGTGCCAACTAATGAATGATTTGTCAGTTCTGGAGAAGTATCAAAACTATCGAATGGCTTTACATCAAAAGCAAGCCCTTTTTTCAAAAAAAAATGAATAAATAAATTTATAGGGATGTGTATTTTATTGAATTCTGCTTCTCCTTTCCAGTTACTCCTCTACAAAATGAATTACTTCAAATCGAAACTTTAGATTTTATATATTTCCATCAATATTATATATTTCCATCAATATCAGAGCCTCGATAGATTAGTGGCAGAGTTTAGTCTGCATTATGAAAGGATAGATGGATAGAGTTCGTTTCTTCTCGCGGTTCCCGTCTTCGAAACTAGCGCACCCTACATCTATAGCGTCTCATACCATCTCATACGGTGAGGTGTTGAAATTTGATGATCTGGATGTCAAATCCAGTGCCATCTGCCTCATTAAACCACGATTCGAGATTGTGAGTATGTTTCCAATAGCCAATGGGGTGACTTTCGACTAACTCACTACAGAAGCCTCGGGAACTTCAGGAATTTATTATATTCCCTTAGAAATCTCTGCATTATGATATTTTTCTCCCACTTATCTAGTTTAATAAAGTAAAATTATTATCTCAGAACTTGACTTTTGAAGTCAATACCCAGGATTAAAAATCAACCTCGTTTACCGTGTAAGAAAATAGACAAAAAACAGGTGAATTTTATTTCATTCCTCAAAAGCATTTTTTACATGCTTTCCTACAAAAAGCACACTTTAATGGTTCGAGTTTCTTCACCACAAATCTAAGTCATTTTTTACAAGTCTAAAAGAAAACTGATATCATCCCCCCTTTTTTATCGGCTCATAAAATATGAATTACAAATCTAATTTCTAAAAGAACAAAATCCATCTTGATAATGTGACTTTTTTTTTAGAACACATCATGAAATATTTCTATGTTTTTCTTCCTCAGGTGCCATCACATTTTCCAATATTGGAATAGCTGTTCTGGAACCCTCTCTTCCTTTATGGATGATGGATAAAATGGATGCTTCCAAATGGCAACAAGGAGTCGCCTTCTTGCCAGCCAGCATTTCTTACCTCATTGGAACTAATCTTTTTGGGCCCATTGGACATAGGATGGGAAGGTAATCCTCCATTTTGTTATTGAGGAATTTAAGCTGTTTCATTTCGATATTACTGGATGCAGCTTAGTTTAGTTAAGTTAGATTATCCACTTTTCTAAAGCTAGACAGGGGCTATATTGGGATGGACTTCAATATTTTGAACAGTTACATATCATATAACGAAGACAACATCTGCCGGCATCCTCCTCTCCTGACTTTACGTCACACCAGGGAGAGGACGTTTGATCCAGTAGCCGAGTCTCTGCCATCGTGATCCAAACTGGATGTAGTATGCTCAAAATAGCACGCTATAAGAGAGACATATTTGTACAATTAGAGAATTTCACTTAATATTGTGTCTAAATTGTTTTCAATCCAAAATGCTTGGTATAGGTTACCATATTCGATCAGAGTGTCTGTTGTATCATGACTAGGGGATCAAAACTCGAGCTTATTTTTAGATAAAAAGCAGTCATGGAAGTGGGACTAGCGGCTACCATTTCACCGCCGAGTGCGGTGTTATATGCAAGGCAAATACAAATGCTAGCAACTGTTTTTTTGGTGTCACACTTAAGACTGACATCAAATACAGGCGACTACCCACTGTGGTCGCCATTTTATTTTTGCCATAATAAATATTCTGCATTAAAGATAGTCAAGCATGTGATACCTGCTATCATTTCGCTGTCAAATGCGTCATTATATATGAGGCAAGCAAAAATTATGGCAACAATCTGTTAGTGTTATTTGCAAAACTAACGGCAAATACTGACAACAATATACAGTGGTTGCTATTTTATTGTTTGTGAAATACCTTGGCGATAGAAAGTAAGGTTTATGTAAGACATAAATATTTCTTTCACAGGTGAGAACATCAGAATTTATCAAATATTCACATGGCGCGACGACGTAGATATGGTTTAGTAGATAAACGTCGCGTTTTGAAGCTACTCGAGGGATACTACTAAAGGGCCTCATAATTTTTATCAGTTGCGGGATAATCATAGATAACCATTTCAGCCAAATAAAATCTCAATAGAGATTCATCTTTAAGAAAATAATTTTAAACAAAATTCGCATCTCTAAGTAGAGAATACGCACTTTTGAAAATGTTGATGAATGGCAGAGACTAGCTTTGGAAACCACTGTATATTAAAATTTTATAAGATTTAGTTGTTGATAAAATCCAGTATTTCTCAAAATGCTGTCCAACAAATAAATGCGATTTCTTCTAATGTCTCAACATAATTTTTAATTTCACCAGACTTTTAAGATATCAATCTCTCAAGGAAAATCAGGAGGCTATGACTTCCCTGTGGAGCCGCTTATCAGTGGCGCGACCGATGGGTAGGAAAAGTCGATGTAGATGCCCCGGATGCCAATCTTTTGGGGCGCCGAGTGGACAAAAGAATAGAGCATTTATTTAACTTTATAAAGTCAAATATGACCAGTTGGCGGAAGAATTGCTATGTTTTGGGCACCACACCCATTCTACGGCTCTGACCTTCGTGGTCTGAAGATCATGTCTTAGCTTCGAATTTCATGTAAAGTGAATTTAAAGTGAAAATCAGCTATTCGCAGTGGCTGGTATGGTGTGAATCTAGTTTTCGCCAAGTGTCCTATTTTTAGTGTGTTGTGCAAGTTTCTTAAATTGATCTCCCGCTTTGCCGTCTTTAAGATTGATTACCTTCAGTCTGTAGTGTAGCTTGAGAATATAGTGCTAATAAAACTTATATCTTCGAATGAATTGACAAAAAATTATTATACCTTACGCTTGTTACTTTTGACTGATGATTTGCTTTTCTTACAGATGGTTGGCTGCTATGATTGGGCTGGTAATAATTGGCGTTTGCTTGATTTGTGTAAGTATAAACATAGTGAAATGTATTTCTCAAGAAAATTTTCTTTTGCCTTGATCAGCCACGATTAATGTACTATTCTGACAAACTTTTCAGGTTCCATTAGCGAGGTCAATAGAGGAACTAATTCCTGCAAACGCTGGCATAGGTCTAGCTATAGGTAAGTAAATATTTTTCTTTTCTCGAATTTTCAAAGGTAGGATAGAAAAAGTCTGACGTTTTCATGTAATTGAGAATTTTCTTTGTAGGGCACAACTCCTTTCCCTTAAGACATTAGTTTCTATTAGTATTACGTAGGTGCCACTTGAAAAATTAAACTTACATGGTTGTGTCAACAAAAATGCAGGCGAATTGACATTAACGTCTTTTGGAGAATCGTGGCCGACAGATTAATAATTACAAATCAAGATATCAAAATGTTAATACCCGAGTAAATAAAAATAATTGAGGTCATATGCATTACAAAATTATTTAAGAACTTAATTTTTTTAAAAGTTGTAATGAAATTATTGTAATTCGACCTTTTACCATGTACATTTCTATTTCTTGGCCGTTTCTGTTTTATTCAGCGATATTTCCACTGTGTTGAAGAATCGTTTAACGCTATTTGGTTAAGACTGACATCGAGTTCAATATTTAATAATCGATTCCATTTCATTTAAATTTCTTCCAGACGTGCGGCTAGTCATCCAATTCATCATTAATGTGCATAGTCCTCTGTAATTCTGGATTATTCCGGTTCTGTTCTCCATAACTTTTAGTAAATTGCAAAGCAGAGGCAATAAATACCTCGTTATCGAGTTATAAATAAAAATACATCTCGATATTTCATTTTTTAAAATTTGTAATAACAACGTTCGAATATGGTCTAAAGCTGCAAATAAGAATTACTTTTTTTTAACTAGCTATGGGAACGAAGTTACCAAATGCATGATGCCTATTTAGTTTCCTCTGAGGTACAATAAATTACAACCATCAATAAGCTTCTTAACCCTTTAAAGGGCCATTTTTTTAATAGTAGTGGTACAATAAAATAACTTTCGGAGTGAGATTAATTCAAGAAATTCATTTAGAATATTGGATGGAATTAATTTTTTGTTAATTAATTAAATTAATTAATAATTAATTACCAAGTCATGATACTTCGTTATGGTTTGAGATAAGAAATTGGAACATCTAGTTTTTTGTTTCATCGAAAAATTTGGCGAGAACTTACGCCAATCTTAAAAATTGTGTTTAAAAATCCATGAATTTGTCATGGCCCTAGAAAGGGTTAAATGAACAAAAATTCCACCATGCAATAAGGACATCAAGTGTTGGTTCCCATTCCCATTTTCTTTCGCGCAATATGATCCCAATTTCTTTATTTATTGAAAACTAGCAGTATGCGCCCGGCGTTGCCCGTGGAATCAGGACTTCAACGAAATGAAAAAAGAAAAGAAGAAAAAAAAAAAAAAACGGCCACAATGATACGAAAAAGTTTTGAAAACAAAATCAAAACAAAAGATACACATTATTGATTTTCCAGCTTATTTTCTTAACGATAATGGAATTTGAACTGTAGGAAAACAGTACAGAGTACGTTAATCCAAAGAAATATTAAAAAATTGCAACGTAAATATCATTATTAGACATTAAGTAAAATATGCGAGGCTAAGAAACATGTTATGACACTGCCGATAGCAGTACGCGCTCGGCGTTGCCCGTGGAATCAGGACTTCAACAAAATGAAAAAAAAAAAAGCACACAAGGACATGAGAAAGTTTTGAAAACAAAATCAAAACAAAAGATAAACATTATTGATTTTCCCTCTTATTTTTCTTCACGATAATGAAATTTGAACTGTAGGAAAACAGTATAGAGTACGTTAAACCAAAACAATATTAAAAAATTGAAACGTGAAAATCATTATTAGACAGCAAGCAAAATATGCGAAACAAAGAAACATGTTAAGACACAGCCGAAAATAATAATCGAAGTCAGTCCGTTAAAGGTTATGACGTCTCCTGCGCTCTGCGCCCCCAACCAATGAAATTGCAA